AATCAGACTGCCGCACCAATGCTGTACTGGGGCAGTGCTGCACTATGGAAGATTGCACCTTCTGGATGAAATGTTAAACCGAGGCACTCTGCCTGCTCTAGTGGAAGTAAATGATCACTTGCCATAATTTTGAAGAACCAAGTTAGCTCAGTGTTCCAACCAAAATGTATCCTTCAATCAACATTGCAAAAACAGATCACCTGGTCATTGCAGTTTCTGGGAGTGCAAATTCGCTGCTGCATATCATATACTGATGACTAAACTTCAAAAATATGTAATTTGTTATAAAAGTGCTTTGAGATGCTCAGTGGCTGGGCAAAATACTCTATAAAATGAATTATTTTTCTTTGCAGGTGTAGAAATTTTCTTGACTTTCCTAATGCATTTATTAGTAACATTTATGGCCCCTACTTTTGTCTGCCTCGCAGATAGACTCTCTCAGACTACTCTAATGAATCCCTATTATAATTTTAAATGCCCGTCTCTCCTCAGCCTTCTCTTTTCTCCATCATGTTCAACCTGATATATCTTCTAAATTCTGGTATCCTCTTTATAAGTCGTTTATGTGCCTCTCAGTAACTTCATACTTATTTTGTAGCACAAAGACTAGAACTGTTCATTATGCTATGAGTGCAATCCAGAAATGGATCTGTACAAAGTACTTGCTTTTTAAATTTGTCCCTCTGGAAATAAAATTCTGGTGATAGATTACCACCCAGGAGTTATGAGCAAATTTAGTGACAACTGGCCACGGCAACATCAGATTCTGTTTAATCTGATCCATTAAGTGTAACAGTAAATTTCCTAGTATCAATTCAATATCCTGGCCTAGAACTGTAATTTTGATAACATAATTATTAACTCACCAACTCAATGTACATCCTTCCCTGCTGTACCAAACTGTTTATTTTTTAATGGTTCCAAATTTTTTAGAGTGTACATTGTCAAAATGGAATACCTAGATAAACAGATATATCTGGTTCTGAAAGTTGATATTTAAAATATTCCTCTCAAATGCATATTCTATACAAATGAAAAAAAGGGATGCCACAACATGTTGATCTAAACATTAATTCAGACATAGTCACAAAGGGCCTTCTTTCATTAATATTAATATATTATGTTAAGAGGTCTGCAAGGATTTGTTGGTTTTCAAGTTAAAAAGTTTTTCAAAATATGCAGTGAGGGAAAGAAAATTGCAGATTTCACCTCATTAATAAGGCATGTCATCAATTTGTATTGCACACAAGTTTAAAGATGGAGAGCCTTAATTTGTATATATTATTGGGGTGTTCAATCTTTCAATGCCAAAATAATATACTGTAGCTTTAAGAATAAACTGAGGCTGTGATGGGGATACATTGTTCATTTAGACGCCAGTGAAACTAGCACTAGCAGCAAACAGAAGCCAAAACTGGGAGACTGGCTAAACAAAATGACCTGAGTGCAGAAGTTTTAAATCAGGATCTGACTTAAGGTTGGGTTGTTGCAGACAAGCCATAAGCAGACTTTCTATTGGTCAAGAATCAGAAATACTTTATTATTCGTTGTGCTGACACAGATGCTCAGATGTGGACTGAATATTGCAAAACCTTTCTACAAAAGAGGTATAAAAATACACTTCCCAGGGGCTAGCATTTATTGCCCATCCCCACTTGCCCTTGAGAAGGTGGTGGTGAGCTGCCTTTGTCAACTGCTGCAGTCCATGTTCTGTAGGTAGACCCACAATGTCAATAGGGAGTTCCAGGATCTTGACCCACTAACCGTGAAGGAACAGCAATATATTTCCAAGTCAGGATGGTGAGTGGCTTGGAGGGGAACTTGCAGGTGGTGATGTTCCCAGGTATCTGCTGCCCTTGTCCTTCCAGATGGAAGTGGTCATGGGTTTGGAAGGTGCTGTCTAAGGATCTTTGTCTCTTGCTGTGAAAGTTAGAAGGTTAGTAGTAGAGCACTTGCTAGGAAATTAGTGCTTGTCAGGAAAATACCAGTTGACAAGGTGTTTCCAGAGGCTTACATGTTATATGAACTCCAGATCAGTATTAGAATCTAGCATTAAGGCTAAAGCTGATTGCAAGTGAGAAAAACAGAAGCACTCAGCTAGTAGTTGTGAAATGTGCAACCTCCACTGTTAAGATAGACTGGGAAATTAGAGTTGAAGTCTTAAAGCAGCAACGGTAATTCGTATTGTTGTATGTAAATCACAAGTTACTTTTAGTTCAACTATTAAGAAATTTCACAATCAAGTATTGAAACAATGACTTAAACTTTATTGCAGGTAGCGACCAAACTGAGACCCCTCAAATAAGCAAGTTAAGTCTCACAACTAAACTTGGCTATTACCCAATTAACGGTGCAATTTAGCTACAATTCCACCAACAGTGCCTGTCTCTGGAAATATCCATAGTTCAATCCTTGCGCAGTGTTGTTCTTCTCAGTTCTGCTGAAGATTTGTGGAGTTGAATTCTTATACAATTTTCTCTCTTTCATGTTTGTGGTGTGACATTATTGATGATCCTTAAGATTCTTTCATCCTCAACATTGATTACACATGAATGATAGTAAAACATAGGGTATGCAGGGTAGTTTTGATCTTAGAGTAGGATAATAGGTCGGCATAACATTGTGGGCCGCTGGGCCTGTACTGTGTTGTACTGTTCAATGGTTCCTCAAGCCTGTAGCTTGCCTTATCAGAAGCAATTCCCCTGTTCCTTGTTATATTCAGAGTTAGCTGTTCAAAACAGCCTGTACTGCAATTTACCCCTTTAGTTCAGAACATTCCTTCTGCAGGCAAGTCTTAATTGCCCGTTTGTCACGAGGCAGCAGGTTACCAAGCAATGTTACTTCCTCTCTCCCGGGAAACAGCATGTTTATGTTGCTTTGACTCCTAAGTTTAATGATGAAGTCTTAATTTGTAAGATATTGTTAAAGTGTGGTCAAGTAGTATTACAGTGCCAAAATAACATTGTAGCTTTAAGAATAAACTGAGGTTGTAATAACAAGGTGTAGAGCTGGGTCCAGACCTGAAATGTCAGCTTTCCTGCTGCCTGCTTCATCCAGCTCTACACCTTGTTATCTCAGACTCCAGCATCGGCAGTTCCTACTATCCCAAACTGAGGTTGTAGTCGGGATATAATTTACATTTGGGCTCCAGTGAGTCTGGCATTAGCAATAAACAGAAGCAAAACTGGGACAAAAATAGAAATTTCTGGTAAAGCGCAGCAGGTCCTGCTGTAATAAAGGAACTCAATAGCCAAATTATTTGGTTCCAACAAACCACAATGAATGACCACACAAGCTGAGTTAACCTTATTGGTTGAGGTTTAAGTATGGGTCAGGACACAGGAGATTCACCCCCCCAACTCTCTTGAATAGTGCAGAGGGATGCTTCACATCCAGGTGAGATGGGGCTTACGTTTAATGATAGTGTACTACTTCAAATTAAAAACATTTCAAAATCATGCAATATTATTTTAAAGTGGTTTTTTAAAGAATTTCAGCCAAAAATCAATTAAATATAAGGCAGTGAAATGCTGTGTGTAATTCTGGTCACTATTAGAAGAAAGATGGTGAATTATTTTTAGGGGTCAGCAAAGGGCAACTAACTCATTTTAAAATTAAGACCAAGCCATTTAGCAGCAAACTCAGAGAGCACATTAAATTGAAGAAGGTGCAGAAAAGCTTCACAAGGATGTTGCTGGGACTGGAGGGTTTGAGTGATAAGGAGAGGCTGGATAAGCTGGGACTTTTTTCACTGGAGTGGAGGAGGTTGAGGGGTGACCTAATAGAGATTTATAAAATCATAAGAGACATAGATAAGGTGAATAGCAAAGGTCTTCTCCCTAGGGTGGGGGATTTCAAAACCACAGGACATATTCTTAGGGTGAGAAGAGAAAGAGTGAAAAGGGACCTGAGGTGCAATTGTTTTCACACAGAGGGGGTTTTGTGTGTGGAATGAACTACCAGATGAAGTGGTAGACGCAGGTACAGTTAGAACATTTAAAAGACATTTGGACAGGTACATGATTGGGAAAGATTTAAAGGGATATGGGACAAATGCAGGTAAATGGGAGACGATGGCCTAGTGGTATTAATCACCGGACTGTTAATCCAGAGACCCAGATAATGTTCTGGCGTCCCGGATTCGAATCCCGCCATGGCAGATGGTGGAATTTGGATTCAATAAATATCTGGAATTAAGGGTCTAATGATGACCATGAATCCACTGTTGATTGTTGGAAAAACCCATCTGGTTCACTAATTTCCTTTAGGGAAGGAAACTGTCATCCTTACCTGGTCTGGCCTACATGTGACTCCAGACCCACAGCAATGTGGTTGACTCTTAACTGCCCTCTAGGTAATAAGAGATGGGCAATAAATGCTGCCTAGCCAGCGACGCCCTCATCCCATGAATGAATAAAGGGAAAAAAAATGCAACTAATTTAGTTTGGGAAACGTGGTCGGCATGGACAAGTTGGACTGAAGGATCTATTTCCATGCTGTATGACTCTATGACACTTTTAACACAAAGCATAATGGAAATCTGAAAACTCTCTGTTTTGCCCCCTCCCAATGAAAGGTCATAGATGCCTGATTGAAATTGTTGAGACTGACATTGACGGATTCTTCAGGTAAGAGGATTGAGAGATGTAGAGAAAAGGCAGGTAAATATAGTTGAGGTACAAATCTGCAATAACATAAGCAAATGTTTGGACAGCCTTGAGCAGCTGAATAGTTTACTCCTGTTCCTACATAAATTGGTACCTCCAGAATTTAACTTCAGTTATCATGGCAGTTGGTAGGAACCAGAAATTTTTAGATTTAAGAATCAGGAATGATACTGAAACATTCAAAATCATTGACTGTAGAAATGAGAAATATCACAGGAAGAGGAATGAATAATGTATCTCTATGAAAGAAAAACATTCACTTTAAATAGCTGTATGGGGTCACATGTAGATGGTGTATATGTATTTTTAAATATACTTCCTTAGAAAATCAAGTCAGATAATATGCAGAATTTATTTATTACACAGGTCTTGGAGTGCAATTTGTTTTTATCTTTGACAATTCCATATTATCGGCAGTTTCTCAGCAGATCAAGATATTCAACATACCAGGTTTTGGACTGATTCAGAAGACACATTCATTATTGACACCACATCCTGGGATTTGAGGCTTTCTATGTAAACTATTGTACACCCATTCTGCCATTACCTGTTTGAAGCCAATCTTTATTAAAAGTGACAGTTTAGCTGGTACTAGGATTACTCCATTTTAATTCTGCCAACTAGATCAGAAAAACACAGCCAGGATAGCGAGCAGTCTATATCTGTCACTCTAGTTGGTCAAGAGACGACTGCAAATGATGCAATTTCACTAATTTAAGAGAAAACTTTCACAGCCTATGTGCTGTTAATAAAGACAAGTTAAAACATACTTCGTACTCTTGAGCACTTAAGCTTTGGGATTTACAAAAGATCAACTATTGCTGTAAAAAATTAGGTGACTAGTACCAACAAATTTGGAAAAGGTTGCATCCACCACACATCTACAAAAGTTGCACAGAACACTTTGGATGAGTATTTTTAAAAAAATAACTTCATAACCAAATCACAAAAAAGAAAGGAATGCACATTCAATCAAGAGATCATTGCAGCTGTTCAGTAAATCAAAGCAAATTTTACGAATAGTCAGAAAAACCTAGATAAAGCACTGCTTAATAAATTAGTCAGCAATATCAATTATTGAATCAACAGAGCATAGAATCTTTTTCAACTAAAACAGCCAGTGCTTACTTTCACCAGCCTGAAGTGAACAACCCTTGGCCAAAATAAATCAAAGTTCTAAACAGCCAAATTAAAATATTGTTAAACGTTTATACAAAAGACCTTATCATTTCTTTCCTTATCATATCCATTTTAATTTTGTTTGTCAAAAATGACTTTTTTCTGAATTGAATCAAAACTATATTGCTGTGGTAAGGGAAGTGTTGTATTGGTTTGATTTTAATGTTTCGAGAATGCAGTTCAACAAATTAAAGTTGTCCTATTACCTCAACTATTTTAATGGAAAAATAAGATTTGTACCCTGTACAAACCGATCTTGTGGCCAGGTTTAATATCTGAACTGAAAGTGGAAAAGCAAATTCCTTTCTGTACTAACTTGGATTATTTTCAAATTGTTTCAATGATTCATTTGGCCAAATCACAAGCTTACTGACACTATGAATGGAATGCAGAACTGCAACTCCAGGAATAACCATTGTCACACAAAAACAATGACATAGAGTCACTGTAAGTTAGGCAGATTGTAAAGGCCATAACGTGCATTCATAAAACAAAGTTTGCAAAGTATTTGTAGAATAAAAGCAAGCTAGGAAGGGTAGTGAAAGAGAATGTTTAAATACTTAAGTCCTTCAGTGAAGTTGTAAGTTGCCCTTGACCAACTTTATGCACAGTTCTGAACACTTAACACCTCAAAGGCTTGGACCCATGAAACAAGTTATATTAAGTTACAAACTTGAATGGTGCTGTCAAACAGCAATATTATAGTTTACAATCTCTATCTTCTTTATAAGAGTAATACTGTTTAACTCCAGTGAGTTATGACTCAGAATTATAAATCCAGAAAGATTGGCACGGCTGGAAATATATCCATACTGCAGTCACAAGCAGGAAAAGATCAACAAAGAAGTGGCTGCGCTGCAGGTAGCAGAGGTTTAAGAGATGCTGGCAGCTGGGTGCAGAGAAAGCCCAGTCTATCACTCTTTATGCAGTTTCTTCACAGTCTCCTTTTCATCATATGATTCACCAAATTCATTAGTCCTGGTTTTATCCACTGGGTAAAGCCTGCAATGAAAATAACACCAAATTTCAGAATAAAGTTGGGGGTGAGAGAGAGAGGGGATTAAAGGTCAATTCATCTGGCTATTCTGGTTTTTTTTTTTTAAGGATAGCAACATATTTACACAAAAGAAAGTCCAACTTTCTCCCTTTCCTAATTAATTTCAAACAGTCAGAAAATCTTTTTGTGCTCAGCATGGTGAACTGTGGGACAAAAGGACAAAACGTTCTTCCAGATATTCTTTTCAGCATCAGTGTCACAAAGTCATGTAATGGTCCATCTGATTCTCCAGTAACATGCCTATAAAGTGACACTTCCATCTCTTTAAAGCAGCTGCTGTTCTAGTTCAAGGGAAATGGCCAGCTTATTGCCAAAATGCACTGTGCCAGGAAACAACGCGGGAAGCTTCAATTCATTTCAGTGAAGAATCTTGCAACTGGTCAAATAAATTGATCAATTCAAATCAGTAAATGAAAGCAGTTTACTCATTCCCTTCTCTTTCTAAGGAAACTTCTGCTTGGAATGCAAAATTAAAAGATAGCTTATTTTCTAAAATATTGTTTAAAAGTTTCATTTTCTTACATTGAGATGTATGTTGGAAAGTCTTACCATCTCTGGTAGAGGTAAACAAGAAAAACTACATCATCTCTGAAGCAAGCTAGTCTGTGCGACGTTGGCATGGTGATGATGAAAGCAAAGACATCATCAATAAAGGTGTTGAATGCCTGCAATGGAAGTAAGATAGTGATAATAAAAGATGAACATTAATGCAAGTCAGATTGTGGAAAAAAATTGACAATTCATATCAAGTTGCAACGCCAAGCTGAATAACTATATTAGAAAACAAGCCAATATTTTCAATTGTTCATAATGAATTAATGCTTTTTTAAAAATTTATTCATGGGATGTGGGCGTCACTGGCTAGGCCAGCATTTATTGCCCATCCCGAATTGCTTTTAAAATGACACAGCACAGGAGGCTATTTATCCCGTCACCAGCTCATTGGAAGAGATTTCCAACTGATCCACTCCCTTGCTCATACTTGAACGCTCTTAAATTGTTTCTGTTTCAAGAATTTTCCAATTTATTTTTCACTAATGAATCTGCTTCCATCAGTCTGGCAGTGCATTCCAAACCATGCAAACTCCCTCTACATGAGCAATCATTGCTATGCCCAATAAAATGACTGAGGAAAGATTTACATCTAAATACAACCAATTAATACTTTATGAAAATATTCAGCTCAAAATGCACAAATGTCACCATAACCCACATTTGTTTCTGTAAATCTATTGGAATCCAGCACGCATCTTTTCAAATTCTTTTTCAAATATTCAATATCTATTTCTAAGTAGATAAATTCAACATCTGATTACATATGTTAGGGTCACGCTAAATCATCATATTAGAAAATGGTAGGATTTGGAACCCAAACCCACGATCAACCCGAAAGTATTTCTTGTTGAAAATTCAATCTGACTGCAACAGGCTACTGAAGCATACTTCAGCGAAGGCCTGGGAAAAGGTTATCTGGCTGTCCTTTCAACCAAAGGGGCACAACTCCTCATCCTTTTTTAAAAATTACAATATGTAAAAATTAAAATCAGGTAAGTTAATTTTGCTTGCAAGCAAATTATATATGTTTGTTCTGAAGATGGACAAATCTCTCTGAACTCTTCAAAACATGCTAAATTCCCAAGCATAAAGCAACATATCACACTGACACCATTGTAAGAACTGGGTTGTCTAAATTATTTTTCACACTTGAGTCAGTTTTGAAATACCAAGAAAATAGCTTACTTTATACATAAAGGCCTTCCACGGTAAATGTGCCACAGATTTCAACTGCAAGTAAACGGAAAGCAATAGTTAGCAGCAGATGTCTTCTGTTCAACTTTTTGCAACAAGCAAGTTCCATTCCTACAACAGATTATGGATATTAGCTCCCCTGAAAGTTAGTGGTTAAATAGGCCATCTGGTGTAGTTTTTTCTTGAAGAGAAATACAGCTAAGGAAGTGCCACTTTCTCTACTGTTTGGAGAAAGTGAAATTCTGCTGTTGAGTATTTTTCACAAGAAGTAGTGTTAATGAGGGGATGTGGTGGAAGGAAGAGGATATGCAAGTTAGCCAGTATCCCATTCTCAAGCGTGGTTGTGTTTTTTTAAATTCACTTGTAGGACATGCATGTTGCTGGCGGTCCCTAGTTGTCCTTGAGAAAGAGGTAGTGAGCTACCTTCTTGTACTGCTGCAGGTTGACCCACAATGCCCTTGGGGGAGAGAATTCCAGGATTTTGACCCAGTGACAGTGAAGGAACAGCAATGTATTTCCAAGTCAGGATGGCAACTGGCTTGGAGGGGAACTTGCAGCTGGTGAACTTCCCATGTACCTGCTGCCCTTGTCTTTCTATACGGATCATTGACTTGGCACTTCTGGCTGAAGATTGCTGCAAATGCTTCAGCCTTATCTTTTGCACTGTTGTGTTGGGCTCTTCCAGATGGGGATATTTGTAGACCCCCCTCCTCCAGTGGCTTGTTAAATTGTCCACCACCATTTACAGCTGGATGTGGCAGGACTGCAGAGCTTAGATCTGATATGTTGGTTGTGGGATCACTTAGCTCTGCTTATCATTTGCTATTTATGCTGTTTGGCATGCAAGCGGTTCTGAGGAAGGGTCACTCAAACCAAAACGTTAATAGAACATAGAACATAGAACATAGAACATAGAACATAGAACATTACAGCACAGTACAGGCCCTTTGGCCCTCGATGTTGCGCCGACCTGTGAAACCAATCTGAAGCCCATCTAACCTAAACTATTCCATTATCATCCATATGTTTATCCAATGACCATTTAAATGCCCTTAAAGTGGGCGAGTCTACTATTTTTGCAGGCAGGGCATTCCACGCCCTTACTACTCTCTGAGTAAAGAACCTACCTCTGACATCTGTCCTATATCTATCACCCCTCAATTTAAAGCTATGTCCCCTCGTGCTAGCCATCACCATCCGAGGAAAAAGGCTCCCACTGTCCACCCTATCTAATCTAATCCTCTGATCATCAAACTCTGATTTCTCTCCACAGATGCTGCCAGACCAGCTGAGATTTTCCAGCAATTTCTGTTTTCGTTTCTGATTTACAGTGTAGCAATTCTTTCGTTTTTTTATGCAAGTAGTCTTGTTTGGTAGCTTCACCAGGCTGACACCTCATTTTTAGGTATGCCTGTGTTGCTCCTGGCATGCCCTTCTGCACTCTCCATTGAATCAGGGTTGATCTTTTGGCTTGATGGCAATGGTTGAGTTGGGGATATGCTGGGCCATGAGGTTGTAGATTGTCCTGGAGTACAATTCTGTTGCTGTTGATGGCCACCTGGATGCCCAGTTTTGAGTTGCTAGATCTGTTCGAAGTCTGTCCCATTTAGCACAGTGATAGTGCCACACAACACGATAGAGGTTATTGTCAATGTGACAGTGCGACTTTGTCTCCAAAAGGGCTCCGTGGTGGTCACTCTTACCAATACCCTCATGGATTTTAGTTGAGAACAAAACTCAGATGCCAGGAGAGCTCATGTCAATGCTCATTATTCAAAATTACAACGGCTGCCTAAGTGAGATATTAAAAGACTGTCAGTTTTTGCAGGGCTATGAACAACTTCCCAAGGAAGTGGTGGATGTGGGTATAACAACAACATTTAAAAGACATTTGGATAAGTACATGAATAGGAAAGGTTTGAAGGGATATGGGCCAGGAGCAGGCAGGAGGGACTAGTTCAGTTTGGGATTATGTTTGGCATGGACTGGTTGGACCGAAGGATCTGTTTCCATGTTGTATGATTCTATAAGTAAGGTAACATTACAAAAATAACAATCAGGCGTAATTCTGTGTGTAAGTACAATACCCTGAATCTACCTCTTCAAAAAGTGGAACTGTCCAAAAACAGGACACGTTTTTCCTCTAGGAGCCACTCATAATATACCCTGTCTATTTAATAAAGGTTTGTTTAATAACTGCTCTGTTGCATTTGGTCATGACTATCCCCAGTTTAGTTTTGAAAAACTGGTCAGGCTCCTTTCAACCCACCACAGGAAATCTCTGCAACATAAGGCAGAGAGCAGAAAGGGAATGCTTAAGGAATCCATACAGCATTTTATCATGACTTTGGAAATTTCCTGGAGATGTTGCTACTTAAATCCATATTAACAGACCTGGAAACTTGTGCATCTCCCCTTATAGCCAAACTACTACAATTCTTTGGATAATGCGTAAACCAAAATCTAGCATAGTCTCTGTCACAGGGGTGCCAGATTTGGGAAGGGGTATGATGATTTAAAAACCGAAAGAACTGCAAGTGCTGTAAATCAGAAACAAAAACAGAGGTTGCTGGAAAAGGTCAGCAGGTCTGGCAGCATCTGTAAAGACAAATCAGAGTTAACGTTTCAGGTCCAGTGACTCTTCCTCAGAACTGCCAGGCCTGCTGAGCTTTTCCAGCAACTTCTGTTTTTGTATGGATGATTTATCTTGTAACGGAGATCCTCAGATATGAGTTGAGTTTCACTGAGAGCATTGGTTTAGTATCACACCAACACGCTTGTTATGCAATACAAATTTCTTCAGAACATAACAACATCAAAAGATTAAGCTCTGGATAGGATTAAAATGGCAAACATTGTGAAAGTCTTGATATTTATTCCAGCTTTCTTTAACCAAATGCTAAAGTGCATTATTCGACAACAATACTTATTGGGAATAGAAAGACTACCAATGCCGGTCATCACAATGACAGATGAATCTGTTCCATAACCAGCCATGTAAGTATTTCAAATTTGACCATCTGCAGCTAAAACAATCATCGTAGCGTGTTGTCACAAAGCTGCATTTAAAACAAAAAAAAACTGACCCGCTCAGAACAGAAATGGGGCCTGTCTCTTTGACTCAGAAAAGTGCTGCTATTTCCAGGATTTTCTTTTCACCCAAAACACTGACAATACTTATCAGATTAATAAGTTTAAACACTGCTTTCGGGGAGCTGCACTGGAATCATTTAGTGCCTCTTATTTGAGAACAGTGTGTACAATAATTATGAAACAAAACTGTAAAACCTTACAAAATATCTTGTACTTCCAGGTCTGACACAAAACTACTATTCTTATATTTAAAAATGTCTTGAATTTTGAACCTTTGGACACACACAGAATTTGCAACTCTTCCTGATGGACCAATTGACTAATGTGGCAGTGTCCCTACAGCAAATTCAATATTATTGCAAGCTTTTGAGGTTCTGATGTAAAAAAGAACTTTAATTTTACATCTTAGATGTAGTAAAAGTTCAAAAATTGTTTTCTCAACTCCATTAGACACCAATGGCACCAATAACCCTCTGATACTTTGTCCTGATCATTCCTAATGTGTCGACCTACTGCAAATCCAGACACACTGTCTGAACATTGAGAAAGACAGTCCAGCTCAATCAATTTCACAATGTTAACACACAGTTTTCGCTACAGTTCACCATACTGATCTTAAGTACCCTACCTCTACCTACTCCACAGCCCAGTGCTACACTAGCTAAAAGCACAGAGCTGGGAATTTGTCACACCAACTATCAAAATGGTAGATTTACCAATCGAGTTTTCAAGGAGACTTTAATAGAAGCTCCACTTTTGTATGGTAGTTGCAGGTTCATTCCCATAATTCCTTGATCTCAGCTAAATCTTTCTCACAGTGGGAGAAAGAAACAAGCAGGGGCTGTGTGTGTGCGTTTCTGCTGGGACTGATAGGCTGTGACATAAAGGAAGCACCCAAAACTACTGTCTCACACTTCTAGTAACCAGCCTCCCTACTCAGAAAGTTACAGCACACATTTGAGATCATAAAAGAGATATGGAGAATTTAATACAGGAACAACATGGTGGGTTGCGAACAAAAACAGAAAGGTTTAAATACTACAAAATACTGTGTGGATTGTTCCATTTTCAATAACAGTCGGCTGAATATATCTATACAAAATAGCTATAATATTAGCAGGATAATCCATCTAATCACTAACCTTATAATTGACAAACAGTTGAGGCAGCATAAACAGGAATCCAAAAGCATAAACACCTGCAATAACCACACCAACATTTTAATATCCATGTGAAGAAAATAAGCATGTAGCAAATATATAAATGACTGTGCGTGCAAGGGACACTTACCATTAACTAAACTATTTATCAACCATGAGTACCAACTGAAAAGATATAAAATATTGTAAATTCAATGCATTAGATAACCTCTACTTAAAGATGAAAAATAAATTAAGTTTAACTCAAGTGCCATTGATAGTTACCTTTTGTACTTTATATTTAATAGGGAGTATACTGCTCCACCAAAACAAAGTGGATAAAGTATGTAGGACAAGTACTTCATTGCCTAAAAAGAGTGGGAGGAAAATCCACAACCATCAGACACTCAAGAGATAATTATATCCATGACAAATTATGAAAATGAACACATTTTTCTTTAAAACTGCCTCAAACCTTTAAATATTTCAACTTTGCTTACGCCGATTCAGTTAGCTGTTTTCCTTCTAGTAATGAAGGTGAGCCATTATTAGAATAATGCATATTATAGAGATCCAAGTATAGACTGAGGGGTACAAGTTCAGTAGCCCATTCAATTTCAACTGAACATTGTCTATTTGCTTAAACAACCATGTCAAGTCCAAGCATAATAGTCATAAACATGCCAAGTACCTGAGTATCATATTCTTCAGTCTTTTTTTCAGATTCATCAAATGTTCCAAACTGCAACAGAGTATGCCCAAAGTAATCTATTTAATTGTTCACTTAAATTCACATTTAATACATAAAACATGTAATCATCCATGGTACAGTTAGAGTTACCTTAGATCAGTTAAGGTGGTGAGAGAAAAACTGGCTACAGCTTCCTGGAGCTTGGGAGGAGAAAAGTCAGATATGTGTTATCCAACAGAACTTTCCCAAAACTCCCCGTGGAGAACTGATGAGGAAAACACCAACTTCAACCAAATTCTTTTTGTCAAATCACTCAACCCTCTCTAGAGAATTTCTGATCTCTCTAGGTTCTTCCCAGTCTCTCATGAAATCCACCCTCCTGTTGCCTTAATTATGTTTCATTTAAACTTCCAATTTCTTAATTAGACATATGTAAGCTTACATTGTAATTTATATATTCATAAGCAGGATCCATCCTCTTGTGCCATTTTTCAATTTTAAGAAAATGTGGCGATAATAGTTCATTGATGCAGCCCCCATAGCAATGTCCCAACCAGAGTCAACTTGCCAACAAATCAACAACCATTTCTAGTGCTGGATAACATGTAGCCCTCTTTGAAATTTGGCAATCTCGCATCTATTCTGATGAAACACCTCAAAGGCATGTCTTCTTTTGTCTGCAATACTCCAGTTTGGTACTGCCAAGTGGTTGCATGGTAAATAAATCCCTCTCCTTAAGTACTAACTCTTCTCTTTGGAAACCATCATCATTCCTCTGCTAAGTAAACCAACAGAGGACCACCATTCCACTTCAGTATACTGTTCCTTTTCAGCACCTTTGAACATGTGTTCACCTCCCAAATCTGTGCCCATTGAAGGTTTTGCAATCGGATTAGCACGTTTGCTGAGGCACCAAAAAACTCTAACCAAAGTCACAACTGATATTCTACAGTGTGGCCAAACTGCATTCATCCCTCCTCACCGTATTTTATTTTAATTTTTCTGCATTCTTTGCCATAGGTAAACACATTGACCCTTCTTCCAATGTCTCTCCTTCAATGACCAGCTCAGTAAAACCGCCCTTTCTGTGGTTCCATTCTTAGCTATCCAATTATACTTGAACATCTTCAGCAACGATCTCTCTTCTCATCGCTGCCCTGTTAATAATTCAACAGTATGAAGGTTCTGCCCTTGCAACTTCCCACCTCTTCGCAACATCTACACGGTTCAGTCTCAGATGTCTGCTACCACATATAGTTCTACATCTCTGCTGCCTGTCTGGTTGAGTACTTCTCTGAAATTATGTTTTCAATGAGCCACAACTTCTTGCAGATCTTTGGCAAAGTCAGTAATACCCTTGACATCAAATGACGCCTCTGTTGGTTTAAAATGTTCCATATACAAGAACCAAGTTTCTTGCGTTTGTTCCATCACAAGGACTACCCCTTTGTAATATTAACAAGCTCCTATGTTCGCAAGAATTAAGACTCATTCCCTGACCAACACTTCCAATTTAAAATTATCAACATGTTGAGGATCAGTTGCCCCCTCCACAATTCTACAATCTCTGCTGACACTACCAAAACCTGCCCTCGAATCTCTTCACTGCTTTAGGTCTGACATCTTGTTCATTTATCCTTTTCTATGTCACTTCACTGATGGCTATGTCTTAGCCACCTAGACACTACTTCCGAATGACCTCCTGCACAAACAGCTCAGCACCTCTCCAACATTTTCTCTTTAAAAGACTTCCCTTAAAAGGTTTCTTCTTCAAACTAGTCTTTGTCACCCTATGTAATACACCCTCTTAGATTTGGGCCATGCCTTTATATCTCTGATCATATCTCTGTGAATATCTTTAGAGCACTTCTTCTGGATTAAGTAGTTGCATAAATGAAAATTGTTAAATTGATTTTCATAGCATGCCTCATCATGCCTAGATGTCTCAAAATGCTATACAGCCAATGAGTATTTTAGAAGTGAGATCACGGTTGAAATGTAAGAAAACTAAGCTCCCCATTTCTTTAGAACAAAGTCCCACAAATAATTTGTTATGTAGTCCTTATATTTAATCATTTTTGGGGACTTGAGTTTGAAAAATCATGGATACCTGGATAATCTAAAACAGGCAACGGAACTTTTTTATAAAATAAATCATTTCCTGGGAATCACATGGTTCCACATAAATTGCTGGTTTTGGTTGCTTGAACTCACTCCAGGGAAAACAGTTGACTGTTTTTATGGCTGCACTGTTTGAACAGTGTTTTGCAGGCCTAGAGATTTTTTCAAACTTCAGCTGGAGAGAAGCTTGCTGTAAGAAAGCTTCTGAACTCATATCTCCTGTTTCTGGAAAAAATCTTTGTTATGAATGCCGTATGAAACCTGATGGTCCCCTTAAAGAGCATCCGAAAAAATTATTGCTAGAGTGTCCTATGGACGCTGCATTTACAAAGATCCCAGATACAACTACCTATCTCTGGTGACACACATCCATATATGCCAGAACTCTAGACTGACAGCCATTTGGTCATTCCATAGTCTATCTGTTTTGCCTTAAGTACTGCTGGCCAAGCATGTTTCTCCCTACCCCAGCCCCTTCAAAAAAGTGAATCTCCACAGAGAAAAATCCATTCTAGTTTTCATTTCCCCAGTGAGTAGCTTGGGTGTTGGGGTGAAGGGTAAACATTTATATTTTCATGTTACAAACTGTCTCTCTAAATCAATTCTGTAACTTTGTGGATTACATTTGTTTTTTTAATAAATCAATAATTATGATGATTAAATAACCCTGGCTCCTGGATCTTTTTACTCTTACTCTAATAAAGAGAAAGTATACTGTTGGCCCTACCAGGAACAGGGTAAATAATAACATTTATGTTGTGACCCACTCATTTATGGGAATACAAACAAGGCAGTACACTCCTCCCATCTTGGTCCTGACAGGTTGGGATGATAGCTGAGGAACAAATTCTGGGGTTCACAATTTGGTTATTTATAACCCATTGCACATCTGGGAATTTGAGTCTCTCTTATTTTGGCTTATTTATTAATGCACATGATACAACGGAAATTGCCCTTGTGCTAGTGGTGATTGACTTTTTAACAAGGCAGTGACCAATTTTATCATGGACATTTTCCATGACCTGCAGGTTGGCAAGAATGATAAATTTTTACACTTTTTTCCCTAACTGCTGTGGGACAGTAGTCAGCTTAAAACTCAGTGATTATAACCCAGTTCTATAACTACCAGGCTACCATACATTAGTGGTCAAGATATTAAGCCAGCGTTTTAAAAGTTTTAAAATAAAAATCATATGGAACTTTTTAAAAAAGCAAACATCCCAAATAACCTCCTATATTTGCTCGATTCGGTTAATTCATTGAATTACTTACATTTGAAAGACTTAACTGAGTTTACAACATAAAAATTAGTTCATGCAGATAATTTAGGAAATACGGCATTCAAAATCGTCTCTGTTGCGCATGTAAATAAACATTCCAGCTTTTTCCATACTTCACCTGAAATACTGGTCTTAAGCCATACCATTTAACCATCATCTTAAAGGCTTTCTTAACTTTCCAGACCTACAGCATAAAGGAGCATAAAACTAAGTTACTCTCTGTGAAATGAAAATGAAAACAGACACTGAAAACAGAGCCAAGTTAAAAAAGGAATTCAAATATCTTAAATGCTTTAAAAGTTGTAGAAACAAATCTTGTGTTTAAGTTTAGATTGTTACTTTACCTCTATGATTGCACCAATGCCAGCTGGAATAAGGACTAATAAACTGGTCTGTTCATCCAAAAGGAAAAGAAATACAACAATGGTACTAAAACATCGCCAAAGAACTGTAGAAAAGAACCAGAGGGAGAAAAATGTTACATTCTAATAATCATTTTATTTTCATTTTAGCCTTCTTAAATTACTGGCCATTGAAAGTTCAAATATGTAACACCGTCACATGTGGCTTTGTTCAAAATATAAACAATTGGTAGGGTGGCATGGTGGCTCAGTGGTTACCACTGCTGCCTCACAGCGCCAGGGACCCGGGTTCAATTCCACCGCTGGGTGACTGTTTGTGTGGAGTTTGCACATTCTTCCTGTGTCTGCGTGGGTTTCCTCTGGGTGCTCCGGTTTCCTCCCACAGTCCAAAGATGTGCAGGCTAGGTGCACTGGCCATGCTAAATTGCCACATCAGGGATGTGGAGTTTAGGTGGGTTATAGGGGGATGGGTTGGTGTGGACTTGTTGGGCCGAAGGGCCTGTTTCCACACTGTAGGAATTCTATTTTATTCTATAATTACAGAGGCAATGACTATAGCAAGGTGTTTTTTGCATAAATGCTCTACCAATTCTCTAAATTGTCTAATGTTTCTCGAACATTACAGTCATTACAGTTCAGAGCCTAAGCAGTCAGCAGTCCAAATAACGGGTACACTATTTGATTGTGAAGCCATCATACACAAGCCACATTCACACATGCATTTCCAATGATCAATGTTCTTTTTGCCACTCCCCCCCTCTCTTCTTAGGCAAGAAATCACAAAAATCCAATGATTACTGCTGTCCTACCTAAGAATCACTAACTTGATAGACATTAGGGAGTGAAACTGATCTCTCTCGTTCAGTATGCAAGACAACTATACTACCACCATTGCTTTACAGGCCCAAATGCTTACAACAGGCATGTTTATAGGAGTGCAATTTGTTCGCTATACATGATGGCTAGTATGATATAGCAAGGTTAAAATTTTTAAAAAATCATTCCATTTCATTGGCCTCAAGTGGTCACCAAGCAGATTTTTAATTTGAAAAACGATGCATCTTATTTCACACCCCAAAAAATAAATTCAACCAGTGTGGCAGTATTTGACACTATTGACCAAACATACGTCAAATTCCAAGTGAGGCTGTATAATTGCTCATTGAGAGGTAAAGCAGCAACAATAGCAGAAATTCAAACAAATTTCAAATGCACTAACAGAGTATTGGCTGTAAAGAAGCTTGTTATCTGCAGTGACCTGATCTGACAGTTCAGGTACAATAAACTGATGGAGTTCTACCACCAAGGTTTACACTATCATCACTTTTATTATCTTTTCATTTACTTCCTCTAACTACTTCCTAAATCATGGATTGAGATTTTGGAACAATTTGCTGCAGTACTGAATTTGTATTTTAAACTATGGGGCAAGCCCAAGCAAAGTGAAAACTATAAACTAGTGAGTGCATAAAGCTGCATCTGCCAGGAGCAGAACCCTGTAATTACCAACTCTGAAACTGACATGAATGTAAATGAAAACAGTAGCCACACTTTGGTCAATTTAAGAGACTCCCAGTTTTAAACATGGATGTTTCAAATGAGACAGTTCAGGTACTAAATGCACTTAATTCCTACCTGCTTTTGTTGACATGCCAACCATGCTTTTCTTTCGCCTCCAAAAGGTAATATCATTCTTAAAAGCCAAGAAATCAAACAGGAGCTGTGCAACAAAGGCAAAAAATATTTAACGCAGAACTGCAACAGTAACTTGCAATAATATAGCACCTTTAATATAGGAAATGCCGCAACTATTACGAGAAACTGGCAGAAAATTAAGACAAAATCTGGGATGGACAACTGAAGGCACATTTGAAGGGTCATTTCAAAGTAATTAAACCATAATTCAAGCCTGTGGATTGTTTATTTTTCTGTTATGTTAGATGCTGGATTTTTCCATTCAATATTACTGCTCTGCGAACTTGTTAATACTCACACATACCTAGCAGTTAAGTATCCATGAATTGATGCTTAAATAAATTTTGTTTTGAAAATATTAAAACAATGGATTCTAACTATTTATTTAATTTTGAAGACCATACAGGAAACATTTCATTGGTCTTAAAAAAGAAAAATGTGTAGAATCAGCAGCTGATGTTTTTGAAAGATGACACGGCACAAAAGTGCGGCATTAAAAAAATTGTCTCCCTGATAAAACACATCTCCACTGTAATGGACCCTTGAATTAGATGAGTGATGTGACAGCCCATCGAACATCCTAATGAACAAACTTTAGCTGCGTATTTGATTCTCTCACGCCAGGAGGTGTTCCCAAGTATAAGCCAGGTAAACTGGCATCATGGTGCATATGAATGCCCCTCACTGATCTTACCAGCATCAACAACGTACACACATGTGGAAAATGCCAGATTCACATGTGGTCATAACTGTATTGATAAAGCATGGCAATATTCGAGAGTTTGAGATTACTGATGACCATGTACGTCGGAAAATAGTTGCCAATCTCACAGGCAGACTGAATGAGTGTGGTTTCATTAGCCCCAGGCTCGATGTTCAAATGAAGGAGCGAGGACACTGGTAGAATGGTCTAATGACCTCCCGTCAACTTGGGTACCTCGCTCTAACTATCTCAGCTGGGATCATAAACCATGAAGAGGCCAAACGAAAGTATACAGCAGGAAAGATCTTACGATTTATTTTCTAAAATGCAAAACCTGTCAATAATGAAACACAAACCAAACAAAAAGCATCATCCCCAAGAGAACACTATTTTAGTTATAACTTACGTGGAATGCTGCAACAAAGAACGTTAAAGCTAAAAAGTAGAGGTTGGTGTCCACAAAGATCCCTTTAACTTCATCAACATCTTTTTCTGTGAAACCTAAAACATATGGTGTGAAAAGACAAAGAAAAAACATTAAATGACTTTTTATTTGCTAAAGTAAATAACATTCCTTTCTTCCTAACATGCGGGTTTAGAACATAGAACATAGAACATAGAACAGTACAGCACAGTACAGGCCTTTCGGCCCACGATTGGTCCGACCTATTATCCTACTAAGATCAATCTACCCTGCATACCCTACATTTTACTATTCTCCATGTGCCTATCCAAGAGTCGCTTAAAAGTCTCTAAAGTATCCAACTCCACCACCACTGCCGGCAGCGCATTTCATACGCCCACCACTCTCTGTGTGAAGAACCTACCTCTGACATCTCCCCTATACCTTCCTCCAATCACCTTAAAATTACGCCCCCTCGTAATAATCATTTCTGCCCTGGGAAAAAGTCTCTGACCATCCACTCTATCTATGCCTCTCATCATCTTGAAAACCTCTATAAAGTCACCTCTCATCCTTCTTCGCTCTAATGAAAAAAGCCCTAGCTCCCTCAACCTTTCCTCATAAGACCTGCCCTCCAGTCCAGGCAGCATCCTGGTAAATCTCCTCTGCACCCTCTCTAAAGCTTCCACATCTTTTCTGCGATGAGGTGACCAGAATTGAACACAATATTCCAAGTGAGGTCTAACCAGGGTTTTATAGAGTTGCAGCATAACCTCTCTTGGGGATTAAAGGGTAAAAATAAACATGATAACTATACAAAATTCAAAATAATTGGTACCATTATAATCATGTAAAATAATTCTGCAGCTGGGTTTTCTTTAGATGAGATGGTGCAGCTTTGAGCAGAGATTTCCTACATTGATGGACGAAATGCCTCCAGCAGGAATTAGACAATTATAAATACTACATCCAAACCAACAACACTGAAAGAAAATGGTGCCATTTGTCATTTTCAACAATTTGAATGTATACTTCCATATCATTCCCGAACAATTAAGCACAGCATTAAAAGATTGCCTTTCAGCAAAAACTACATTCAAAACATCCTGGAATTACACCTTTACTCAAAAGGTGAAACATTTTAACAAGCACTTGAGAAAAGAGAGTTAAAGGCTTTGGAGTTTTTAAAAAGATTATTACTTGCAAAAACAAATTGACGCACATGACGATGAGCTTTCATGTTAAGACAGCCCCTTCCTATTCCAACCTTTACTTATATTCTTAATCCACAGTTGATTTGAGGGACAATAATTGTGATTAATGTAGCAATCAAATGGACAGTTGTAACAATATTCCAGCACTTGCACGACTTGCAAAACAAAATGGCAAGATGTTAACTAAAGTATAGCTGAAACAGTTTACATGAATTCCATGGGTTCACAAAATTACCTACAACATTCTCAATAAAGCTGCCAAATTACTGCTAAGTGTTGAGCACACACTACTGCACGAATTCTCCAACACTGAAAAAAATGGGTATCTCTAACTCGGATCCCAGTGGTGGTGCTACAATGCAGAGCTGCCCAAATGGCAGCTCGAAATAAATAAAGACGAAGGATGTGGCACAAGACAGATGAGGTGAGAAATGGAAATGCATAACTAGTAGAGTAAAAGACGTTCCTCTAAGATTGCTGCAACAATATAGCTCACTACCAAAGTTGAATTTTATTTTTGTCCGATGAGCTGTTATGACAGTATAATAATTATTTAAATAGGGCCTCAAGAAGGAACAGTGTTCAATTCCCTAGTACTGATGTTGCTCAATTTGATAATGAAAAGATCACACTTTTTTTTTAAAAGGAATAAAATCATTTTCAAGGACAGATGGCATACCAAACCGTTGCAATGAATAGACAGCCTCTTGCATATGGGTCCAAAACCTTAGCTTTCCAAGAGATATTGCATCATAACAAACTGTAAGAGGCAATGTAATCGATGTAGCATTTATAGTCTGCAATAGAAAGTTTTTGAATATCAGACAACAGAATGCATATTGTTCAGAAAGATACAATGCTATGGGAGCATTTAAAGAATTTAGTTCAAGAAAATCACAAATATAATTTTACTCTAAACCATCCAATTTACAACCAATTTCTGATTGAAAGTACAATCTAGCTGAACTCCACAAAACACAGTAGCACATAAACAAATCAAGCAACCAAGTTAATCTAATCATTACTTCTCTCTGCTGATTGGTAAATTACTGAGCCATACAACACAGAAGCAGACTCTTCAGTCTAACTAGTCTCAGTCAACCAGACATCGCAATCTGACCTGGTCCCATTTGCCAGCATTTGGCCCATATCCCTCTAAACCACTCCTATGCATTTACCCATCCAGATGTCTTTTAAATGTTATAATTGTACCTGTCTCCACCACTTCCTCTGGCATGAAAAAGTTAACCCTCAGGTTCTTTTCAAATCTTTCCCCTCTCACCTTAAATGTATGCCCTCTAGTTTCAGTCTCCCCGAACCTAGGAAAAAGACCTTTCCATGCCCTCCATGATTTTATAAGCCTCTATAAGGTCAGCCCTCAGTCTCCAACACTCTGGGGAAAAAAGCTCGTCCCAATAACTCAAACCCTCCAGACCTGGCAACATCCTTGTAAATCTTTGCTGCATTCTCTCAGGTCTAACAACATCCTTCCTCTAGAAGGGCAACCAGAACTGTACACCGTATTCTCCAAGTGGTCTCACTAATGTCCTATACAGCTCCAACATGACATGCCAACTCCTATACTCAATGTTCTGACCAATGAAGGCAAGCATGCCAAACGCCTTCTTTACCATCCTGTCTACCTGCAGCACCACTGTCAAGGAACTATGCATCTACATCCTAGGCCTCTTTGTTTGGCAACACACCCCAGGGCCCTACCGTTAACTGTGTATGTCCTGCTTTGATCTGCCTTACCAAAATATAACATCTCACATTAATCTAACTGAACTTCATCTGCAATTCCTCAGCCCATTGGTCCATCTGAGCAATGCCCTGTTGCACTCTGAGATAATTTTCTTCACTGTCCACTACACCACCAATTTTGGTGTCATCTACAAACTTATCCATACCTCCCATATTCACATCCAAATCATTTATATGAATGATGAAAAGCAGCGGACCCAGCACCAATTCCTGTCGCACACCGCTGATCACAGGCCTCAAGTCTGAAAAGCAACCCTCCACCATCACCCTCTGCCTCCTGCCTTCAAGCCAATTTTGTATCCAATTGCTTAGCTCCTCTTCAATCCAATGTGATCAAACCTTTTTAACCAGTCCTCTAAGCTGTCGTGCTATACGGGTAGTTAATATGCCTTTATTCTAAAGTTTGCCATTTACCTCCACAGGGAGCAGGCCAACGATTACCATCCAAATGAAAATATAACTTTGTTGGGAACATCTTAGGCTACTGATTGTAATGCTGGTGCTTTGTGCCACACAGTGGTAAACTGGGAATTTGCAGTTATGATTTCCCACACGATGAATTAGAGATTTCAAACATTTCAGCAAGGGGATGCCAGATGCTCCCACACATGGTAGGAGAACCTAAGAAACTCTCCGACACCTCCCCATGGGGTAATTAGAGAACAGCAAGTACTAGAACAGGTTTTCTAAAGGAGGGTCTAGGCCTGAAACGTCAGCTTTCCTGCTCCTCTGATGCTGCTTGGCCTGCCGTGTTCATCCAGCTCTACACCTTGTTATCTCAGATTCTCCAGCATCTGCAGTTCCTGCTATCACTAGACAGGTTGCCTGGTGATGATCAGAGACAAAAGGATCAAGGAAGAAAGCATTTACAAACTCTCCAACAAATTTTGTTATGAAACAATATTTGGCAGTAAACGAGGATGGAATGAAGCTTGTTCGTACAGTGACGTCAAAGGGCTGGCGTGGCTCAGAAAGAGGCCATTCAGCCCATTGTGTCTGCACCTGCTCTCTAAGCATTTTGACCTAATGCCAAACCCTGCCTTTTGACACAACACTGTGCATTGTATCTAGACGTGGTAAACAAAAATCTCTCCAGTTACGGGGGAAAAAAAATTGAACGTACCCTCAAGTCTCTCACTCGGTTGCTTAGCTCATCGACAAACAGAATAGGAAGATACTGCATAGTCTTTCCATGCTGCATCCTAAGATACCAAACATACAACTGAAGTGTTAAAAGAGGATCTTTATCATGAAATCTTCTAAAACGTCAAAATGTACAACATTTTTTAAAGCAGAATCCTTGAGCTTATAAATATCTTAGACTTGGCTAGTAAAACATTCAGAAGCTGGATTAGGTCATTTCGCCCTTCGAGTCTGCAACATCATTCTGTAAAATCAAGAGTGACCAGTTGCAGTCTCAACCCCACATTCCTGTTGGCTTCCATCGCCCTTGACTTCTTTGTCGGTCAAAAACCAGATCCTTGGGAACAGAAAACTCCACAGAATACCTTTCCTCACAGAGAGAAAAAAAATTCCTCATCTCCATCTTAAAAGGGAAACCCCTTATTTTTAAATTGCATTTCTTAGTTCTAGGCACCCCCACAAGAGGAAACACCCCACACTACGTACACTATCAATTTTTCTCAGGATATTACATGTTCCAACAAGATAGTACAGGCCCACCACTCCTTGTTGGATTTGAAGAGTTGGTGGGGGGGTGGGAGGTGTGGTGCTGGTTTTGACGTACTTGAGCACACAAGCACAACAATTTACTCCACCTAAATGTTTCATGATTTTGAACACCTCTTTCAAATCTCTTTGTAGCTTTCTCTGCTCGAAGCAGAATAATCCCAGCTTCACCAGTCTATCCGCAAAACTCTAGTCTCCCATTCCTGGAACTGTTCAGGTAAATCTCGTGTCCTCTCAAAAGTTTTCATGCTTTTCCCGAAAGTGCGCTGTCTAGAATTAGGCAATACTTCAGCTGGCACCAAACTGATGTTTTCTACAGTTGTAGCATCACATCCCGACTTTTGCACTTTATTCCTTTACTAATGAAGTCTAGGATTCCATGTGTTTTAATAACCGCTTTATTAATCTTTCCTCCCAACTTCAAGATTTTGTGCACATAACATCATCCAGGTTTACCTTTCCTTGCAACTTCCATAAATTATACCATTTAATAACATCAATTTCTAGTCTTACTTCCCTCATCTCATTTGAACCAAGTCATGTATTCAGCACTGTCAGCCTTACTCCTCTATTTATTTTTAACCTCATTATCTTGGCAATGTTAAGATTTGCTCTCAGTAACTACAAATATCATAAACTTACAGCTTCATATATCTATGTACATCAGCAGGAAGTGCAGATCCATCGAAAGTGAAGTTGTCAGCCAGAATATTGATGGTGAGTTTTGAACGCCAATGTGCTACAGGTTGATCAGCCACTTTAGTTTCAGCACGAGCATCTGCTTCCTGCTTTTGTGGGAAAAAGCAATAATAAAATTAATGCTGAAGCAGAAAATCAGATCATCATTGAGAAGCTCAAGAGTAAGCTGAAAATAGAATATTAAACACTCCCAAAAGGCCGAAGCCCACAAAATAAACTAATAAAAAGAGGGATTTGTTTGATCCATGGTATCCAACTGCTATTAAGTTAAATATATATTAGACGCACCGTTGGAAACATCATGCTACTTTAATAGCTGTAGCATATCCCACAACCATGACTTGTTAACTACCAAGGATACTCTACTTTCAGTCTATTGAACATTACTATCTGTGCAAAAAAATCAAGTACTGCCTACTTCTGTTTTGGTGACAAGGTTAACAAGGTTCAAAAAAAAAGAGAACTTTGTGAGTTTGCTGAAAAAAAATGAACAAAATAATATCACAAAAGTTACTTTAATGGGACCTACAGACTGCCACATTTTCCACAAATTAGAATCTAATACTATATCTCCATAAACTCTTGGTAGAACATCAGAAGCTCCCAAATATTGCTGCTACCTAGAATTCAACTTTTTATTTGCAAAAATTTGAATATGGAGCAGGTGGTCATCACTGGACTAAGATTGCTATGGAACCTTATGTTTATATGGAGGTTTTGAAATAACAAAGTTTTCTGAGATGAATCATACTTACAAGCAAGGGGAGATAGTAACCATAAATGCAGCATGATATTTGAACTTTGGGACAAATGTCCAAACTCATGGGTGTAAGGTGGTTGAAGTCTCTGGCAGACAGAAGAAATTGGGAAGTGGAGCAGAGACCAGAAGAGGGAAGTAAAGAATGGGAGCTTACCTGCTGCTGAAGAAAAACAGGTCACAGAACTACACAGACAACAAGAATAAAAATTGAAAATTAGAAATGCTGAGCTGGGGTGCCAATGCAAGTCACTCAGAACCCAGTGACAGATAAAGAGGAATTTGTGCAGGTAGCCAAGGAATTTCAGGTGGATCATAGTTTACATAATGTAGCAGTCGGATCTTACAAAGATAAAATCTCATGTAACAAGATCCCAATAGGCGACTCTCTAGTCAGAGGCACGGACAGATGTTTCTGCAGCCGACAACGAGACATTGGAATGGTGCGTTGCCTCCCTGGTGTCAGGATCTAGGATATCTTGGAGAGGGTCCAAAATATTCTCAAAGGGGACAGGGATCAGCAGGAGGTTGTTGTACACATTGGAACGAACAACATATGAAGAGAAAAAGACAAATTCTGGAGGACAGAATATAGGAAATTAGACAGGAATTTAAAAAGTCGGTCCTTGAATATCTGGATTACTCCTGGTGCCATGAGTTATTGAGAGTAGAAACAGGAGGATAGAGCAGATGAATGCGTGGCTAAGGAGCTGGTGCAAGGGAGAAGGATTCACATTTTTGGATCATTGGAATCTCTTCTGGGTTACAAGTAACCTGTGTAAGAAGGATGGATTGCACCTGAATTGGAAGGGAACTAATATACTGGTGGGGAGATTTGCTAGAGCTGCTTGAGAGGATTTAAACTTGGAGAGGGGTGGATCCAGGCAGATAGTGAGAAAAGAGATCAGTTTGAGACTGCTGCAGTTGGGGAAAGGAGCAAATCAAACTGTCAGGGCAGGCAGGAAACAAGGCAGAGAACGCGGTAGGACTGATAAATTAAACTGAATTTATTTCAATGCAAGAGGCCCACGGCTAAGGCAGATGAACCCAGGTCATGGTTAAGAACATGGGACTAGGATATCACAGCAATTACAGAAATGTGGCTCAGGGATGGACAGGACTGGCAGCTTAATGTTCCAAGGTATAGATGCTATAGGAAGGATAGGAAGGGGGCAAGAGAGGGGTGGGCGTGGCATTTTTGATAAGGGATAACATTACAGCTGTACTTAGGGAGAATATTCCTGGGAGTACGATGAAGTTAGTTATTTGGGTGGAACCGAAAAATAAGAAAGGGATGATCACCTTATTGGGATTGTACTATAGTAGCGGGAAATTGAGGAGTAAATTCGTAAGGACATCTCAGTCATATGCAAGAACAATAGGGTGGTAATGGTAGGGAACCATAACTTTCCAAACACAGACTGGGATGGCCAGTGTTAAAGGCTTGGACGGAGAGGAATTTGTTAACTGTGTACAAGAAAATTTTTTGATTCAGTATGTGGATGTATTGACTAGAGAAGGAGCAAAACTTGATACTATTCTTGGGAAATAAGGCAGGGCAGGTGACTCAGGTGTCAGTGGTGGAGAACTTTCAGGCCAGTGATTGAATGGATCAGATTAAAAGTTAAAGCTCTAAATTGGAGGAAGGGAAATTTTGATGGTATAAGGCAAGAACTTCCAAAAATTGACGGGCTGATATTTGCAGTTAAAGGGACAACTGGAAAATGGGAAACCTTCAAAAGTGAGATAACAAGAGTCCAGAGACAGTATGTTCCCTGTAAGAGTGAAGGGCAAGGCTAGTGGATGTAAGGAGTGCTGGATGACTAGAGAAACTGAGGTTTTATTCAAGAAAAAGAAGGAAGCATATGTCAGGTATAGACAGCAAGGATAGGGTGAATCCCTAAAAGAGTATAAAGGCAGTAGAAGTATATTTAAGAGGGAAATCAGGAGGGCAAAAAGGGGACATGAGATAGCTTTGGCAAACAGGGTTAAGGAGAATCCAAAGGGTTTCTACAAATACATTAAGGACAAAACAGTAACTAGGGAGAGAATAGGGCCCCCAAAAATCAGCAAGGCCACGTATGTCTTGAACCGCAAGAGACACGGGAGATACTAAACGAGTTATTTTGCATCAGTGTTTATTGTGGAGAATGAAATGGAAGCTAGAGAACTTGGGGAAATAAATAGCAACATCTTGAAAAGTGTCCATATTACAGAGGTGGTGGTGCTGGACGTCTTGAAATGCATAAAGGTGGATTAATTCCTGGGACTTGATCAAGTGTACCCTAAACTCTGTGGGAAGCTAGGGAAGTGATTGCTGGGCCCCTTGCTGAGATATCTGTATCATCGATAGCCACGGGTGAGGTGTCAGCAGACTGGAGCTTGGTTAAAGCGGTACCATTATTTAAGAAAGGTGGTAAGGAAAAGCCATGGAACTATAGACCAGTGAGCCTGACATTCGTGGTGGACAAGTTGTTGGAGAGTATCCTGAGGGACAGGATTTACACGTATTTACAAATGCAAGGACTGATTAGGGATAATCAACATGTCCTTGAGCATGGGAAATCGTGACTCACTAATTTGATTGAGTTTTTTGAAAAAGTAATAAACAGGATTGCTGAAGGCAGAAAACTGGACGTGATCTAAATGGACTTTAGTAGGCGTTCGACAAGGTTCCACATGTAGACTGGTTAGCAAGGTTCGATCACATGGAATACAGGGAGAACTAGCCATTTGGACACTGAAGTGACTTGAAGGTAGGAGACAGCGGGTGGTGAAATGTTGCTTTTCAGACTGGAGGCCTGTAACCAGCGGCATACCACAAGGATCGTGCTGGGTCAACTGCTTTATGTCACTCATAAATGATTTGGGTGTGAACTTCAGATGTATGGTTCGTGAGTTTGCAGATGACACCAAATTTGGTGGTGTAGTGGACAGCAAAGAAGGTGACTTCGAAGTACAACTTGACCTTGATCAGATGAGCCAAAGGGTTGACGAGTGGCAGATGGAGTATAATTTAGATAAATGTGAGGTGCTGCATTTTGGAAAGGCAAATCAGGGCAGGACTGACACACTTAATAGGAAGGTCCTTTGGAGTGTTGCTGAACAAAGAACTTGCACTGCAGGACTGTTCCTTGAAAGTGGAGTCACAAGTAGATGGGATAGTGAGGAAGGCGTTTGGTACGCTTGCCTTTATTGGTCAGCGCACTGAGTATAGGAGTTGGGAGGAAGTGTTGCGGCTGTACAGGACATTGGTTAGGCCGCTTTAGGAATAGTGCATTCAATTCTGGTCTCCCTGCTACAGGAAGGATGTTGTGAAAGTTGAAAGAGCTCAGAAAAGATTTAGAAGGATATTGCCAGGACAGGAGGGTTTGAGCTACAGGGAGATACTGAATAGGCTGTTGCTGTTTTCCCTGGAGCATCAGAGGCTGAGAGGTGACCTTATAGAAGTTTATAAAATCATGAGAGGCATGGATAGGGTGAAAAGCCAGGCTCTTTTCCCTGGGGTAGGGGGTCCAAAACTAGAGGGCATTCGTTTAAGGTGAGAGGGGAAAGGGACCTAAGGGGGCAGCTTTTTCATGCAGAGGGTGGTGCATATATGGAAGGAGCTGCCAGAGGAATTACAACATTTAAAAGACATCAGGATGGGTATAGGGGGAGAAATCGAATCAGAGATAGTAGGAACTGCAGATGCTGGAGAATCCGAGACAACAAGGTGCAGGGCTGGATGAACACAGCAGGCCAAGCAGCATCATAGGAGCAGAGAGGCTGACGTTTCGGGCCTAGACCCTTCATCAGAAAAGGGGGAGGGGAAGGGGGTTTTGAAATAAATAGGGAGAGAGTGGGAGGCGGATGGAGGAGAGGATAGGTGGAGAGGAAACAAACAGGTCGAAGAGGCGGGGATGGGGCCAGGAAAGGTGAGTGTACGTAGGGAGTTAGGAAGGGGATAGGTCAGTCCAGGGAGGACGGACA